TATAGATTATCTTAATAAAATTTTAAGTAATTTTAATTTATTTAATTGTCCAAAATTGTCCAAAGTGTCCAAACTTATTGTCCACAACTGTCCCGTGACAATACTGCTTAAAAGAATAAAAAAAATACTAAGTGACTATAAAATATTAAAATCTGAAGCATCTGTGATTGAGCTGTAATAGCAAAGACTGACTTGAGATATAGATTAATAGTACTTAAGCAGATGAGTAAAAAGTGATACCTAATAATAAAATACCAACTCTATCATGTAATGAACCTAACTAGGTGACTTGAGAAATGGCTCATTAGACCCATTGGGCTTTTTTTAAAAGTTAATTTGGACCACATCTCATAGTGCTAGTCACATGATAATTTATTATATAACTGGCACTTTTAGAACATGGCCCAAATTAGCTTTTAAAAAAAGCCCAATGGGCCTAATGGGCCGGCCCATGCAGGACCTTAGTTCCTACAAATCCTGAACTAATGTTAGAATATTTTAGAAGAAAAAAATAATATAATATACCAAACTAAAAAATCATAAAGATCTATAACCCAAATATTACTAATTTGGAAGTTATATAAAAACAAAAAAGTGGATGATGCAAAGAACATAGTCTAATTAAATATAGTAATTTCATAATGCAGAAATAATATCAGATATAGATTTAATCCTTCTACTAGCAAACGGTTTAATGACAATATCTTCCCAAAGTGGTAAGTACCCTAACTGCTAGTGTTGGTTTCGGCCATAACATGCTGGTGGTGCAACTAGGATATATTTAAGCACCCATTAGGGCAGCCGAATAAATGTTGAAACTCTGATATAAGTTGTAATATATTTCAACAATTATGTATACAGTCACAATCGGATCTAATAAAGTGTCACCAGCTTTCCTAGCCAAGTTTAAAAAAAAAAATAATAATAATCACTAACCATAAAATAAATAAAAATTCAACCTTTTATCTAAAATTCAAATTCTGATTCTGCCACCAGAAGTGTAACAACTTACAAACTACACTAAGTCACTACACCCAATTAAAATATATTTTTTATATAATACATATGTACTACATATAGGTTTGATTTACATAGTATACCGCAACAAAGCATTCAATAAATGTTCGATGCACGAAATAACGCCCATGGGCGTTATTTCAAGACATGCAATTTGAAGAGAGCTAATGATTAATTTCATCGAATATTTGTTAAAAATAAAGTTACGACACGCATTTAGTTAAATTTTCTTTAAATTTGCATAATAACAATGAATGTTATGCAAATAACCGAATAAGACCTAGAGATGGGCACTATGCAGCACGGTGTTTAATCGTCACATATTATAATTTATGTAAAAATTAACATCTGATATGATTTTCATAATTTTAATCATGTAACAATTAAGCACCATGTTGCATAATGCCTAGACCTCAACGCACCTTTCATTAATCACACTATGATCATCATTTGTTGATGCCATTGAAATAATTTCAAATTCACTTATGCATTGGTATGGTTCCTTGGTATTATAGTCGCTTAAGTACTGGGAGATAAAAGTATAGGTTCTAGTAACTAATGTAGTACGCGAATTCCATCTTGTTATTGACTTGGCCATTTCATTTATGCTTGTGTAACGTTCCAGTCATTAAGGATTTCAAGCCTTCGGATTCTGGACAATAACAATAATAATAATATAAAAAGAAAAAAAACGGATCCCTCGCATCATCCCTACATATATTAAATACTTTTTAATCAGGGTTACTTTAAAAAGCAAATAATTTTAGACTCAAAAACAATTGATTTATAATCTCCGAGTAAGTAAAAAGTACTTGGAAAATCAACCAAATTTTATAAATGTCGTTTAAAAGTAATCAGTTTTCAGAACCCCAAACAAATGGTGCGACGCTTGAAGACCATCTAAATATATCATGTCAAAAAGTCCAAGCACTATCGCGAAATCCAGATTTTTATATAAAGTGTGGTCTTAGAGAACTTGAAGTTCTCAATGACTGGAGCGTTACACAGGCACAAATGAAAAACGACGGCGGAAAGTCAATAGCAAAATGGAATCCGCGTACCGATTGGCCCTCTACATTAGTTACTGGAGCCTATGATTTTGTCCTCCCAGCACTTAGACGCCCATCCTACCAAGGAAATAATACATGGGAAGTGAATTTGGATGAAATTATTTTAATGGCATCAACAAATGATTATCCTGGTGAAATTAATGAAGTGTGCTTGGACGATTTTCTAGATAATATTTGTGAATTCACGGATCTTCCATCCCCATCGTCAAACTTTACAAATCATGAATTGATTGATGACTATGCAAATGTTGATGCGCAAGTCACAATTTTACCGGCTCCGTTAAACGATGCAGAAGCTAATTATTCATTCGCGATTTATCCAAATTTTGCTTGTTCAAGCATCCTCGCAATAATCTCTACACAAACTGATACCACAGTGCATATAGTAGATACTGATGATATATCTATCTTTAACAAGATTATTGGAGGTTATAAACTCTGCCGTAATGACCAAGGCAGAGTGGCACCTTTTGTCGCACGATCCTTAGAAAATATTACTGGGAACGAACATTTCGAAAACCTTTCCTTTTTAATCCAGGTGCCGTTAAAACGCGATAACACTCAACCTATTAGTCCGACAGTTTACAACTGTTCATTATTTCCTTCATTATCTAAAAAATCAGGGTATTCCAGAGATGATCGATTTCCCATACACGTTACCGCACATTTCGTTTTAATCACTAAAGATGGTAACTTGAATGAGTATGATATAGCACAAGCATCTAATTGGATTAAATATGCAAAAAAGTCTAAAGGCGAATTATGGACCAAAGTTTTTTCATCGAATATTGCAACCACGACATCAAGAACTCAAATGTCGTGGACTCTTGGCAATATACCTCACCCTCCAAGTCCATCTCAACAAACTCAAACATTAATATCGAGTGGAAAAGTAAAAACATTAATTGGTGAACAGACCCTAATATCGAGTACATCGATTAAATATCCTTTGCTTTCAGAAACATTAAAATCATCCATGGGAAGTGAACCGAATTCACCGACTACGATTAAAAACGCAGATGTGATATGTCGACAATGTCATGTAAAATTAAGCTCGACCCAACTTTACGCTCGTTGTATTTACTGTCCTGATTTTGACATTTGTGGGGAATGTTGTGTAGCTGAAGGTCTTGGGCATGATCAGCGTCACCTTTTCATTCTTGTTAATCCAAATTTAAAAAATTTTCAAAGTTCCAATATTAATTTGAAATCAAAGGTATCACTTTTGCACGATGTTCAGTGTAATTTCTGTAGGAAGATGCCTATCGAAGGCATCCGTTACATATGTTTAGTATGTCCTGGTCAAATAAATATTTGCAGTTTTTGTGAAGACATGGGTGTACACAATGCTGCGAATTGCTTTTCACATCCTCTTGTCAAAGTATATATTCCCGGAACTTATGATTCGAACACATTAAAATCGTGAAAATCAGGAAATCATTGGTTTGGTTTGTTGTATGATTGAAATTCTATCTACATTTTCTAGAATTATCATCATTACTACTACTATTATTATTTAGTGTGGTCTTTTTTTTTTTTTTGTTTGCTACAATGGACAAATCTATATAAATAAAAATAAATAATTAGGTAACTAAGTAACTTTTGATTTTTTCCCTATTTTATAACAGAACTCTTGCTATGTACCGTAGAATACGTATCATTACATTTAAATATTATTTCTTAAGCTAGGATTTCCCAAACCCTATAATCTAGGCTTATCTGTGAGTCAAAATTGGAAGAAGTCAACCACTACTTACTCACCAAACTTATTGATAGAAAATTGATACATTAATTGAATTTATTGCTTTACGGTTGTTTAACCAGAAGGCAATTTATTAAAGATAAGCTTTATATATATTATTTCTCTTTTTTTAAAACAAATATGTAAATTTTATATTTAGAATTTAAACCCAATTATTTCTTATTTTTTCTAGATATAGAGTCTTATTTACTCGCAAATATAAAATTTACAATGTATTTAGCTCTTAGATTTTTTATTATTTTTTTTTACAACTTTTAACTATACAGCATATTAATTTTGTTTACTATGTTATTTATTATTTCTTAAAAAATTATATATATATATAGTAAAAATTGGATAATAGCAGACTATTATAATTTTAAGAATATACAAAATTGTTTTCTTGGTTTTTATGACCTAACCAGGTCAAAATTTTAAAAAAATGGGATATATATTTCAATAACCAGATATATATTGTAAAAAATCTTTATGTAAGAAATATAGAAAAATTTTAATGAAAAATAAATTATATAGTAGCAAAATCTGGATAATTTGCATATTATGTATTAGATTTCTCTTGATAAAAGAAATTGATTGTAGTGTCTCACCATTAATATTCAAAAAAAAAAAAAAAGAAATTGATTGTAGTGTATGTAGTTGTTGACTAAGCCGAAAATTAAGAATTGGTTTAGCGGCTACGCAAAGTCGATTGCCTGTTGTATGTAAAAAAAAAATATATATCTTGAATTTTCCTACTACTCACAATTGTAAATTTGCTTAATTGTCTAATTCTCCTAAGTCGTCTGACCATTTTCTATATACATCTCCAAGAATTGACTAAGTCAAAATTTAAAAAAAGTCGATTTTATTGGCTAATGCCAAGTTGACTACATTCATTATATTCCCTTTTCATTTATCTCATATTTAGACTAGTAAACTCACCTTTTTTGGCTTTAATAAAAAATTTTTATTACAATTTTATTATATTATGGCTCTTTATAGTTCTAACATAAACTCAAATCCAAATATAAAAGAACTTTTTTGTTTTTATAACTTATTTTTAATTATGTGAATAAAAAGTCAATTCTATGCTTTTGTCAATTTTTGCTTATAAATAAAGTTAGGCAAGAGGTTCATGGGCATTGTCTACATTCCGAATCCTTCATACTACAATGCACATTATATTCAAATATTATATGTTACCGATTAGAAGCAATCACCAAATAAAAGCAACCCCCCAGATTTTGGAGCCAAAAATTTGACTAAGGTTGTTATGTTCTAATAATAAAATTGGACTCGAATAAAAGCAACACCTTCACTTTGGTTTGAAAAAATTCTCTTTTCTTTTTTGCAACATTTTGGTTGCTTCTATTCGGTAACATACGGTATGTTTAATCCTGTGAACTACAGTAAGTATAATAAAATTTTTTGATCTTAAAATTTATATACTAGAAAATTGACAAAAGAAGTCTATACATAATCAATAAATAGTTGCGTCAAAACTAATTTTATGTACTAAGCTCAGATCTTTTATTACTAATAATAATTATATTGACGCCTCAAAAAATAAAGAAATTGTCCAATATATCCAGATGCCAGTTTAACTAGTAGCATTTTCATGTTAAGTATATTTAAAAAAATGCCAAATGTCGGTATATCCAGATGTCGATATAACCAGTGCTGCCAAAATTGAATATTTAGTAATAAAGTTTATTTGAATTTAAGCAAAGTCAGGAATATGATTTTCGGCATAAAATTCAGTTGCGTTCACTTAGGTCGTTTCGATCTTTTTTAGACACTATAATAATACTGTATTAAGTGGACACTGTGAGCAAAAGTCATTCGTCATCGCAGGAAAGATCTCCGGAATCAGTAGACCCTTCTCGGAACGTATTGATCATCACAATAGGTCGTCAAACCATACGTCAAGTCTGGTCTTGATTGGTGACTTCCGCAGTGACGCACTTCCAATATGTAAAAATATTATCCTTTTAACCATTTTTTATTTGAATTTCTTAAAAGTACATGCAAACTTTGAGTCAGTTTTTTATGATGTAGGAGAAATATAAGATAAATAAATAAATAAATAAAACATGAAGAATAAAAAGTATAAAAAACATGTTAAAAAGATATAAAGAAAATAATAGAAATAAAGCGTTATTACTATTACGCGTAATCTCTCTACGTAATTGGTGTTTAAAAATGATTGCTACTCAACATTATATAAGAATTCCAACTGATTTTGTGCTGGTAAATAATTTAAACTCCGTAGATAAATGATTTTGGTGGTTATGCTATGTTTGTATATTACACGTAAAAGTCAGATCATATATACAGAAACTGGATTGATTACTGCAAAAGTGCATATACAAGACCCGGGTCTCTTACATAATTTTTAACCCTTTTAGTAGATCCTGGGTCTGGAATATACTGTGAGGTTATGTCGTGAATAGAAAAAAAAATTTAAATTGCATACACACTTTGTATTTATAATAGAAAAAAAATCGCATTTGATTAATAAAGTTTGCACCCGGGTCAATTCATGGTGGGGTCTACTAAGCAGCAAAACGGAAATTTGTTTGATTGGCTGATCATCAGTAATCCATTCCGATATTATCGCTCTCATTACACTCTATATAGTATTTGATAATTTTTTATAATCTTTCACGATAATACTTGCTCATGTGAAATTCAAACCTTTTACTTCAAAAAACGTGTTATTTTGTCTTAGTTGTTTTAGCTTAAACGCTAAACCTTAACATAATGGCTTCATATTAAATAAAACTGTTGTCAACTTAAAGTTGGTGAAAACATTTGTATTCGATCTCAAACGCTTATATAACCTTGCAAAATTTCAGACAGACCTAATTATGAAAACTTTTTTTTGCTATTTATGGATTCGTTTTTCTATTGTAAGCAATAAAAAAATCGCGTAAAATTTTTTTTCAATAAAAATAAACAACCAATAAAAATAAATTCCCATCTTGTTCTACTAAGCATACAGTACATATTGTTTAAATTATAATAACGATCTTAACCAATGTTTGAAATTAATGTTATCGGAGTTCTCATGAGAACATATTTTTAAAGGTGTAGTAACTTAGTGAAACAATCAAGTTGCTATCCCCCAAGTAGTATATCAAGAGTTTGAATCTTAAAGTAACAAATTTGAAACTATTTTCTGATAATCGATTAAAATAGAATTTATTTTTGAGAACTGTAAAATAATAATAGTGTTCTCATAAGTATAAAATAAATGGCTACATAACATTGTGACGCTAAGCAAAAGGTTTATGAATACAACTAATCACAATATAAGATAATTCTGATACAAGTAGTTGTATTAATTAATTCTATACAATATATTTTAAAAATATCTATTCAAACACTGATATTAATACAGTATATACTTAGTTTAATATTATAGGAGTTAATTTGTTAGACAGGTAGATATAAATGCAGAAATGTGAATGACATATCAAAAAGTAGTAATGCATTGTTCACATTAAAGGAATGATGACTAGAAAACAGAATTCTTTATTAAATATAATAAAGAGAAAGCTTTGCTAAAAATCATTTGCAGGAAAGGCGGTTATCAAAATTACGAAACACATGACAATACTCATGATACCATCTTCCCCAGCATCGCCAGAAAAATTTTTACTATCACGTGATATTCGACAAATTTCTTTAATTTTGTTTACGTTAGGGTTAGAGCCTATTTTAGGGTTAGAATAAGGTGTTCTAATAGTAAAATCGGTCAAGGAAAATTTTTTATTAATGCGCAGATGGTGGTTTCATATATGAATTTTTGTGTTATAAGCGATTTTTTCTAATCGAACGTTTGTTTTGAAATTTTCTGATCGCGTAACGTTACACTAAATCGTGGTTCATTATTGGCTTGATTTTGTTGATCATCACGTGACAGTAAAAATTACATAGTAATTTTTCTGGCGATCCTGGGGTAGTTCATATACACTGCATATGTCATCTGATTTTAAACGAATTGTAGAACAAAACTGAATATATACAGTAAAAATAATTCAGAGAACAGAGAAGTAATTCAGAGGTTAACGACGGGGTGCACTTTTTGTCTCATAGATTAAGGTAATTGGCCAATTCGTGTTATTTTTATTTTTATTTTTAAGCTTTTTAATCTAAAAATAGCGAATCAACGGTTAATATTTTTCTGAATATAGGACTATTCGACCAAGTTTTTTAAAAGCTATAATATATTAAATATAGAGTATACATAGAACATGACCGATTACACGCTATGTTCCGTAGTATGAGTTTGGTTTTTTACACTGTCCGTACCCTCCATGATCGTGTATTACACTTATTAATAGTTGACGGTTCTTTTTAATAAATTATGTACTAGTTAGCATGTGATTTGGTTAATAAAGATTGTTTATTAATTTAACCAGATATGCATTTAACAATATTATTAGGACCAAAGTATTGAAAATTATTATAAATTACAATTTATACTTTGAGTATATCTTTTTGTTTAAAAACTTTTAAAATTTTTTTCGTTTCTATTAGTCAATCAGATTTTGTAACGTCACAAATGATCTACAAAAATTGGCCAATCAGAATGAAAGCCCGCTACGCTGTTCACAAATACCACCTAATCCAAGCGCAAATCGTGAAAATGGAAGCACTGAAACACTGTCTTCTATATCAATGCATACTCCCCTTAGAATTAAGTTTGCTAAAATTGGCCCAAGTTCTCCTATTTCAAACAATATTTCCAATAGCATCATAACATTACCATTATCACAACCTTCTGTTGTAGTTACGTCCTTCCCAACAACTCCCGAAATGCCCACAAAAAGAGGGCCGGGAAAACCTACACCAAATACGCTCTCAATCATTTCAAATAATAGTGATACTCCAGTAAGTGGTTCTTCTTCCAATACCTCTGTGAAAAGGGGCCCAGGGCGACCTCGTAAAAATCCATTGCCTTCAATTCCTCACTCTTCTAATTCTCCAAATAACGACGCACCTGGTCGGCAGAGCGATAAGAAAAGGAAGGTTAGTGGGAACGGTAAAAACGGGCTATCGCACATTGAATCAAAAAATAAGGGTATTAAAAATTCCAACGATAAAGACTTTACTTCCCCCCGAAAGAGACCAAAAACTATATCTAACGATAAAGACTCATTACAAGTTCCTTCCACCAAAGTTACCGGGACGATCAAGACACCTTTAGACGAGCTTCGTGAGGCGAAAATAAAGGAGAAAGAAGCACAACTCGCCCAAGTAGTGGACGAACATGATTCCTTGGTCCGAGAATTATATTATATGGAATCATTCAATATGCTATTATGTAATCTCGATCCGCAGAAAATAAAACAGGACAATTCCGAGCGTATGGTTAAGGTACGATTTTCTCGTGCCGTTACCTTGATTCGAACGAGGTTAAAACCAAATTATAAGGGGCTGTGAAGGCAACCACCTAGTTTTTGTTCAGCATGTATATTGTCATAGAAAAAAAAACAAACATGCTTTATCATTACTGTACTGATGCCCAATCTATTTTATTTAAATAATTTGTTTCTGGGTACCGTTTGGGCTGTTGCGCACTAAAACAAAACATAGTATTTGGAAAGTCACAACTTGTGGTCCACCATAAACGATCAAGTTGTCAACAGCATCCAATCAAATTCCACACGGATGTCCACTCGCCATTCACTTACCAAGCATCGCGAATCAATTGTGAACTTGTTGCAAAAATCTGTTAACAATCAGATTGATTCAGCATCCTTGGAACCAAGCAGCAATAGCCGCAGCACCCGCAAGTCCTCACGGGTAGATTCGTCCAAAAATCGTGGTGCGACTTTGACTAATGGGATGTCATCGTATTCGCTTCGTCGACGTCATTCGCAATTCCCTAGCTTTGAAGATTACTATGCATCCTTTGTAACTTTGGATGACGAAGATATGACGCCTGCTGAAGAAGAATTAAGGGCGCAAAAAGAAGCAGAAATTCAATATCGAATAATGGTATTGAAAAGTGAAGGGAGACTCAACAGAGTTGATAAACCTGTACCTGAACCTCAGCGTCCAAAGGTTCATAGGGATTATCTACTTGAGGCGGTCACGCACCATGCAAAATATTTCAATAAGGTGACTGAAACAAAGTTCCGCACCACGCGCCAGATAAGCAAGGCGGTGTTACAACATTTCAATAAATTAGCAAATCAAGGACCAAGGGAAAAGAAATTGGAAGAAAAACGAATCAGGAAGTTGGCCAAAACAACATCAAATCTTGTCAAACAAAAGTGGAAAACAGTTGAATCGGTTAGTTCATATTTCATGCAGATATATATATAATTGCAAAATTAATTTGTTTAGAAGAATCTAAGTCGACCCAACCTAATTAACAGCAATCAATCTTTTTTTTTTTTTTATATATTCAATGCCCAACTTTAGATTATTTTAGCAAAGCATAAGGAATTACTTCGTGAGCAACAAGAGCGTGAAGGAAAACGACATCTTAATCTTCTTTTAGAACATTCAACGCACATGTTAGAGGTTCAACATAACGAGTTAGTTGGTACACAATCGACGCGTGATCGTATGGGTGACGACGATGAAGATTACGATGAGACAGAGAATCTTGATATAGAGGATTCAGAGTCTGATCTAAATATAACCGAATATTATAGTCAAATGTCGGCCTCATCTACTGAGGTAGACGATATTGATCAATTTAACGAAGGTGATGAGTCATCGCTAGATGCACAAGATTTAGAAGAAGATCCCGAAGAAGAAACTTTGAGATCATTAATAGAAGAACCAGAAAACTCTGTTAAGGAAAAGCCTAATAACACAATATCTGGTGTTTATTCTGAATGTGAAAATCGAGAAAGCGAAGAACAAATTAGTCCCACATCTAAGGAATCTGAAATTTCTAATACCTTATCAGAACCTCCTACGGGAACCACACTATCTACTGCCAATGTAAGAACGCAAATTCCACCATTATTACGAGGACAACTACGTGAATATCAACACGTTGGTCTTGATTGGCTTGCCAGTCTGTATAATAACGGTTTGAATGGTATTCTTGCTGATGAAATGGGTCTCGGTAAAACTATTCAGACAATTGCATTATTAGCTCATTTGGCTTATGAAAAAGGAGATTGGGGTCCTCATTTGATTGTAGTACCTACGAGCGTCATCATCAATTGGGAAATGGAGTTTAAGAAATGGTGTCCAGGGTTTATAATCTTGACATACTACGGTAGCCCAAAAGAACGTAGAGAAAAGCGTATTGGTTGGATGAGGGAACATAGCTTTCACGTTTGCATTACGTCGTATCATCTCGTTGTGTTGGATCAAGTTGTATTCAAAAAAAAGAAATGGCACTATCTAATTCTTGATGAAGCGCATAACATTAAAAATTTCCAATCACAACGTTGGAAAACCTTATTGAATTTTAATTCAGAAAGGAGACTATTGCTCACTGGTACACCATTGCAAAACAATCTTATGGAATTATGGTCATTATTATATTTCCTGATGCCTAATGGGGTTTCCGGGGATATGCCACTTGGCTTTGCCAATCAAAAAGAGTTTCAAGAATGGTTTTCACGCCCTGTCGATAAGATTATCGAAAATAATGAACAATTTGATGATGAAACTCTCGCCGCAGTTCAGAAATTGCATACAGTTTTACGACCGTATCTACTACGTCGTTTGAAGGTTGATGTAGAAAAGCAACTCCCTGCAAAACATCATCACATAATTAAATGCAGACTTTCTAAACGGCAGCGTTTTTTGTATGATGACTTTATGTCCCGTGCGAAAACCAAAGAAACTCTTCAATCAGGCAATTTCCTAAGTATCATAAACTGCTTAATGCAATTACGCAAAGTCTGTAATCATCCAGATTTATTTGAAGTGAGGCCTATTCGTACGTCGTTTGCCATGTCCAAATCAGCAATTGCAGATTATGAAGTCAAAGAATTTTTGATCCGACGGAGATTGTTGCAAGATCATGACGTGTTTAAAAAATTAAATCTGGGGTTTATGAACCTTATTCCAAGTCATTTCGAAGATAGTTTTGATCGATTAATTGCAAATGAATGGGAAAAATTGAATCCTGAGAAAAAATTCTTAGATAAAGTTATAGAAAATAGAAATTTAACTTTTCAAAAGCCCATGACTTACTGTAGCCTTGTTGAGTTTGGTCATGCGACGGAACATCGTGCTCGTCTTAAAACTAGGCAGCGGTGGGATCACTTGCGATATATTAACGATTTTCGGCTCAGACGTCGTCCTATATACGGAACAGGCCTTATAAAATTATGTCGACGACTAGGATCAACTAAATGTGATATGCTATTAGCTGATACTAAAAATTCTCGGACTTATATGAATCGTATTGAATCAATTACGGATCTTATTGTGTCCAATGAACGTAGATATAACATGATGGAAGAAGTGATTAAGCAGTACGCGTTTGTAACACCTGCTGTGGTTGCGAGAGATATGGCTTCGTTAGCATTAGCGGAATTACCAGATGAATTACGTTTGATGATTCATAACCAGGTGCAAGACATATATCATCCAATACGTGTCAAACTTCAGATTGCCTTTCCCGACAAACGACTACTGCAATATGATTGTGGAAAGCTGCAAGAATTAGATAGGCTACTTCGAGATCTTAAAGAAAAAGGTCATCGCGCGCTTATATTTACTCAAATGACTCGTGTTCTTGATATTTTGGAAATATTCTTAAATATCCATGGACATCGTTATCTTCGACTTGATGGTGCCACAAAAATCGAACAACGACAAATATTGACAGAACGCTTTAATCATGATCCAAAGATATTGGTCTTTATACTTTCAACGAGATCTGGCGGCTTAGGTATCAATTTATTTTATTCAGTTAACTATTCATTAATTCATTCTTGTATATATTTATCGTCTAATGCTTGTATATATTCTTTGTTAGGTATTAATCTAACGGGAGCAGACACCGTTATTTTTTATGATTCTGATTGGAATCCTTGTATGGATCGACAATGTCAAGACAGGTATTTTATGTTCTATTTACTCCATTGTGTCTGCATTAGATATTATACATATATCACTTTCAATTTACAGATGCCATCGCATTGGTCAAACGCGTGAAGTAAACATATATCGATTCGTTAGTGAATACACGATTGAAGAAAACATGCTACAAAAAGCCAATCAAAAACGACTATTAGATAAAATGGTAATTACAGATGGTGAATTTACAACTGACTATTTCCAAAAGTTGGATTGGCGTGAACTTGTTAGCGATATAGCACCACATCGTATTAGAGAGGTGAATGATGAACCAAGCTCTGGTGTGGAACTAGAGCAATGCCTCGCAGAAGTTGAAGATGATACTGATGTTACTGCGGCTCAGGTAGCTAGGAATGAAATGGATCTTGATCTTACGGATTTTGCAGAAGTCGCCGAAACTCCAGCAGAAAGTTCTAATACTGCAGCTGCGGGACGGGCAAGTTCGATCTCAACTGCTCCATCACCAAACGAGATAGATGAAGCGAACGATGACAAACCAGATCATGTGGATTATTACATGCTTCGATTCATGGAACGTGAATTGGAACTTTATGTTGGGTTCGGTGTAGGGATGGGATCGGCTTGAGTCAGCTTGGCTCAAAAAGCCAAGCCGAGCCAGCTCAAGTTGGCCCAAGCCGGCTCAAGTCAGCTTAAGTTGGCAGCTGTTTTCGAATGATTTTCGGCTGATATAATAAAAGTTATTTTTGTATTATTAATGATTGTTTGACAGATCATTATGAAAATAATAACAAAATTTTCTCGTTTGAATGTTTGTCTAACATGTTTGACGTGTTTAGTATGTGCGTTCTTGGCAACTAATAAATCTTGACAAGAAATATAAAAGTTGCTCCAAATATAAATAAAATTTTTATAATAACATGGGCTAGTTGCTGAGAAAAGAAAAGAAATTGACAAACTTCAAAAAAAATTTTTTTTTGAGCTTATCTAATTTAAAATTAATCTAGAACCATTTTTCACTTAAGGAACAAATACTGTTATCTTAATAAATTTCGCAGTATAATTCTTTAAAACTTTTATTTTCTAATAATTTATTATCGAATTAAGAATAACTAATTTTCACCCGTGGTGATATCACCCGGTATTATAAAATTTTTATTAAAAATTAAATAAATTTAAAATTTGGGTTAGGTTCAACTTAGATTAAGAATAAAAGGACCTAAATACATATAAAATTTGATGCTGAAAACTTTTGCTTAGAAGTCAAAGCATAGTTTTCATAATTAAATTTTGAAATATTAAGGATTTTTGATTTTTTTTCTTTTTTACTTTGTTTTGGTTACACAAGATTAGACAATCTGATTGGTCTTTATACAACCAGGTGACATCACACGGGCAGGGACAGTGATTTTCTGTGGTGGTTAAGACTAAATTCTGTATGTAGTTAAGACAAATTATTTAATGTGATAAGCCTTTTATTATTTCTGTGCAATTTTGTGATGCTATTCTATTCTTTCTGTAATTTAATGTGATTATAAATAAAAATTTGGATATTAGAATTTTTCTAAATTACATAGTTTTATAACTTCCCGAAAAACATGCTTGTAATTTACGTTAATTTAGTATCTACCATTCTGGGAGTTCCTGATGCTCAGTTTGAATTTATTGGCCAACCTCTATAATATTTTATAATTCTGTAGTATTTTGTAAAATTCTGTAATATTTTGTAGTAACTAAGTGTGATTTTTGTTTTTTTTGATTGATTTTAAGATAACTTCTTTGTCACACTGCTTTTTATTTGAATATCAGTAGTATTTTTAACTGTTAGACATATCCGATAGCTGTACATATTTGTTGGGTACAACTAGCTATACCTGCGTCTTTTGAGCATCTATTTAAGTAGTTTGCTTATCATCAAGTTCTATACTAAATGCTGTACCTGCACCTCACTAAGGGGGTTACCCATTTCAACCTTTTGTACCTATGTATCAACCCTTTTATATCCAAGCAATAATACTTAGTATCACCTTATTTTCACATGCTGGTTTAGGGCTTTAAAGTGGTCTCTACTATTTAGGAAATCTTTTAACCTTGAGGTAAACCTGCTAAAGCCTTTCATACCCACATTTAGGTTAATCTAGATTTCAGTAACTTATGCCTAGTCTGAGAACAAGTATTTGTGAGCCGAAATCGCTATCATTATCTACTTTTGCCCTTATAGAGTTTGCTCATACCCCAGCTCTGATACTCATCCAATCAGAAACTCTTCTACTATTTCACCAACTTCTAATCTAGATAGCCTGGTTTGGTCTACAAGTTACATTATCCACTTTCCTACTGGCTTAACCCGGATACTAGCCTGTGCCTTTTTCTTCCAGTCGATTCCGGTGGCCTGATTGATATAGTATTCATCAAACACTCGGTTCTCATTCAGATCTGCAGCTTATTTGTTCTCTTCTCAGACTTTTCAAAACCATCGAAAATACAGTGATTTTTGTAGTTAGCTGTAATTAGAAGAAATTTTGTGATTTTTTGTAAAACACAAAAAATCACTATCTCTGCACATGGGGTAAAAGTTAACAACACTTTATAGAATTTATAATATAAAAATTAATTTTTTACAAAACTTTTTTTTTGTTAATTTTGTCACTTTTCTTAGTACCAAACCTACTTATTAAGCTAATAGATAACTAATATTAAACATATTTTACATCATTTGTGTTTAATAAATATAGTTTTTCTAAAAGAGACAAGTTCATATTATTAAGAATCTGATTTAGAGGATAGTTAAAGCCAGATTAGTAATTTGACCCAGGTGGTTATCACTCAAGTTATCTATAAATAGATAGGTAATCTAGGTTTGATTGTGATAGTTCAGATAAAAACAGGTATATCAATCTGCAGATAATCTGTAGATTGACCCACAGATAACCTGTAGGTTGATTTATGGGTAATCTGTAGATTGATCTTATAGAATAACATTTATATGATTGATTTATTTTTGTAGATTTATTCATGATTACCCATAATAATTAACCAATCAAATTAAAATAATTTATCATATTAATACTATTAGAAAATGAAAAAAAAACTTTATATATATAGAAGCTAACTAATAAATACACATAAACTAATAAATGCATATGAAAATATTTATCTCAAATATTTAAAAAATAAACAGATATACTTAAAGTAGATAAATGTGATATTTATTACTAATAAGCATAAATTTAATAAAGAATTTACAAGATATA